TTTTTTTTTTTTTTTTTTTTTTTTTTTTTTTTTTTTTTTTTTTTTTGGTCTGATCAAGTTTGGAACTAGCTCATAGACATTTGGAGCACATATTAGCTTATACTTATTTATTTGGAGCTTTCGTTTAGATGAAAGGCACACAGTTAAAGGGCATAACATTGCTCTTTGAGTGTTTCTGATCAGTACCTGATTCCAGGAGCGTGCTTCTCTTCCTTTTTCATGCGCATTTGGGCTCCTTCTCTCCTCGGTGACCTGGCCTCTAGTTTTGCTTGTTCTGGTAGTTAACTAAATATCATATCCTGGAGTTTTCAGGTGCCACTTGTCTACCACTTTTAGCACCTTCCGCAATTTTCTACTAATTGCATTACCTCCTTACTATTTATTTTAGTTCTTTCCCACTTTTAAGTTATGGCTCTCATCCATCCACCAGATAACAATGAAATTAGGTGTGCTTATACCAGACTTTGAATTAATAACCATTTAATTCAGTCTGAAACTATTATTTTTTTTTAAAGGAAACCCAGGTGTAAAATATTTTGGAAAAATTGCTCAAAACAAATACTAAAGCACTTTCTTTTTATTTTATTTTTTTTATTTTCTTACTTATTTTTTTTGTAATTTAACTTTATTTTTTTACTTTTTAAAGTTTACATCTAGATTAGTTAGTATATAGTGAAGCAATGATTTCAGGAGTAGATTCCTTAGTGCCCCTTTCCCATTTAGCCCATCCCCCCTCCCACAACCCCTCTAGTAACCCTCAGTTTGTTCTCCGTATTTGTGAGTCTCTTCTGTTTTGTCCCCCTCCTGTTTTTATATTATTTTTGCTTCCCTTCCCTTATGTTCATCTGTTTTGTCTCTTAAAGTCCTCATATGAGTGAAGTCATATGATTTTTGTCTTTCTCTGACTAATTTCACTTAGCATAATACCCTCCAGTTCCATCCACGTAGTTGCAAATGGCAAGATTTCATTTGTTTTGATTGCCGAGTAATAGTCTGTTGTATATATATACCACATCTTCTTTACCCATTCATCCATCGTTGGACATTTGGGATCCTTACATACTTTGGCTATTGTTGCTAGTGCTGCTATAAAAATGGGGGTGCATGTGTCCCTTTGAAATAGCACACCTGTAGCCCTTGGACAAATGCCTAGTAGTGCAATTGCTGGGTCGTAGGGT